AAAATCTGAAATAGAACAGCATAAAGACTATTATTCTGTATTTCACAAAAAAACAAAAGAAAAAAGAAAAAAAAATATTGATCATCAGTTCAAACTTTAAACTTCTTTTTTTCATGAAGTTTCTTGTTTATGAATGTCATTCCTAAATAGATTTTCCTTATTCGTTACTCATGGGAACAGAAGTGCCTATTTCACCTGTTTGGTTAGAATATGTGGTCAAAAAGACAATGATGTTTATACTTATGGTATTTGGAAGAATGATTAAAAAACCTCAAGAAAGTCTAAGACAAAAATGTTTTCAGCAAAATTAAACAGAAAAATTACTGTACCTTTGTTAGCAAGGTTTGTTTTGATGGGATGTGAATAAGATGTAAACTGCCACTTCTCTCACCAACCACAAGGAATTGTTTGTCTTGACACATACCCACTACATCCACGTTAGTATCTGAAAAGTTTCATGGCAAAATGTCAGATATTAAGGTTTGGATTTAATGAATAAATATTAAAACACAAACTGGACAATGCAGTGTCCCAGATTTCTTCAAAACAAGTTATTCTGACTAAATAAAACACAGGAAGAGGTGTACAGGGAGTGGTTTTGGTATCCATTATTCCCACCTCAGTGAAAAGTTAGAAAATATTCTAATTAAATTGTACTGAAATAGTTAATTATGTTCAGAAGCCAAAATCACTTTTTATTACTTAGGCACTAGTTATAATGCTTCCCTTTACAGGCTAGTCAGACACTGGCTATGTTTCCTGTACAAACCTAGGTATTTTAAAATAATAGTATATAACAGTTTTCACTTGCCAACTGGTATTCCAAAGGAAAGAACTCACCAAACTGAATATTCATCAGAAGAGACAGCCCAGTGCTGTCCAGAAGTGCCACAGATTTGTCCACAACAATAATGCTGCCATCCCTGGAGCTGTGTGCATGGAGCTGAGGGTTTACAGAGACCTGGGAAGGGGAAAGTTGTTTCACACAGGAACACTTCAGAAAACACGACACAGAAGCCCAGGTAATTATTAAGAAAGACAAAAGCACAGCTTTGATGGGTTGTACCTTCTCTGAAGATGTGATTTGCAGCAATGTGTCCACCTGGTACAAGGCGGTGCCACACTCGTGTCCCAGCCCCACAGGGAGCTGCCCGGTGTCATCGTTCAGCAGGAGCTCGATATCGTTCCACATCTTTGCCTGGGATAAACATTTCAGGAACATCTTGTAGAGCAGACAGCTCTAAAAAGTTACACGGCCACAGACGAGTTATTGGTTTTATTACTGGATGGGGACACCGTGACAGGAGGAAGGGCTGTACAAGAAGACTCTTGAGGATAATACGCTGTTTATCACTCTAGAACCAAGTGAGCAGTGCGGATCCCTGCCCGGCTGAAGGCAGCTTTGGGGAAACATTTCGCCAACTAAGTTCACAGCCAGAGTCCTCCCCACCATGCTGTGAACACCCCCTGCTCACAGCGACTCCGATGCCCTGCCCTCAGGGACCCTCATCCCCTCTACTGGAGACAAACCCCTGTCCATAGGGATCACCTGCTCACAGGAACCTCCATCCCCTGCCCCCAGGGAACAAATGTCCCTGACAGAGGTGACAAATGCTCATAGGGACCCCCATCCCTCCCTGCCGCCGGTGACATCCCCATTTCCAGACGGACCCCTGCTCACATCGTCTCCCCGATCCCCTCACCGTTGACACTCCCGTGCCCTCAGGGACCCGGCTGCCCTGACTGCGCCCCCTCAGCCGCTCCT